GGAACGGGGAGCGGGGCTGTCCTGCCTGTATCGTGCCTTGCACCTTGCCCGCACCCTGCCTGTATCACGCCCGTACCCCGCCTGCACCCCGCCTGACCCCGCCTGCACGCTGCTAGCACCCTGCCTGCGCCCCGCCTGCTCCCTGCTAGCACCCCATCCAACCCCACCTGTGCCCTGCCTGTATCATGCCTGCACCCCGCGTGCACCCCGCTAACACCCTGCCTGCACCCCGTCCAGCTGTCGTGCCTGCAGCCCGCCAGCACCCTGCCTGCAGACCGCTAGTACCCTGCTTGCACCCTGTCTGTACCCCGCCTGCACCCCATTCAGCCCCGCTAGCATCTAACCTGAACTCTGCCTGCACCCCATTCAGCCCTGCCTGTACCCTGCCCAACCCAGCCTGCACCCTACACGCTGCCTGCACCCTGCTCAACTCTGCCTGCACCACATCTGCACCTCACCTGCACCTTTCCTGCACCCCACACCCTGCCTGTACCCTGCCTGTACCCTGCATGCACTTGGCGCAGCCGGCCAGGCCATCACCCCCTCCCCTGCATGCCTACACCCTAAGCTCTGCTCCCACTGGCAATGGATGAGGTGCTGCAAAATACCCGGAGGGCATCCCCGTGGAGTCCACTCACTCCTCCCCAGGGCTGGGGACTGTGCCCGGGACCGTGGGGGTGACACCAGCAGTGTCAGCATCCAGCCCCCCTCGGTAGCAGGGCTCCGGGCCCCCTCAGCACCTGGCTCTGACCCGTACCCGCTCTGCCAGGTCAGGGGCGATGCTGAAGGGCCATGGGGACCCCTGGGGACGCCCAGGGACCAGGCAGATGTGGCTTGGCTTGGTGCTGCACATGCCCTGGCCAAAAGCCACCAGCCGGGAATTGGAGGAGCAGATTCACTCCTAACTCTGCCCGCACCAGCCCCTCCAGGCTGTGGTTTGGTGGCTGGATATGGCCCCTGGCAATGGCTGAGGCCCCAAAAGAGCACAGGGGAGTCCCCGGGGTGGTTAGTGGCTCATGGGTGCTGCAAAGCCCCAGCTCCAGGGGTTTTGGGGTCCTGAGGGGCTCACTGCCCCCAGGCAGGTCCCAGGAGCAAGGCAGGCTCGGGACGGAGATGGGTGAATGCAGGCAGCGTGCCTGGCTGTGGCCGAGGGCTGGAGACCCTGCCGGGGCTGTGCTGAGCATGGGGGTCTCCTCCGCACCCCGGTGTGCCCATGGGGCTGTGTGGCTGTGCTGGGTCCAGCCCTCGCCCGGGGTCAGTGCCAGGGTTGGGGGTGCAGAGTGGGTGGCACATGCGGAGCCCCGGAGCAGGGGCGCATGGGGGGAGGTGTGGGGTGGGCAACACTGGAGGCACAGCCTCCCTCCTGGGTGCTGGGTTGAGCCAGGCGACCTCGGGCCACCGATGGAGGATGGGACACAAGGGGACAGTCTGTGACCTGGTGCATGGCACCTCCGTGTCCGCCCCAAACTCCCCTCAGCCCCACTTCTCTACTGCAGCTGCTCATGTGCCAACCCCAGTGCCAGCCGTGGGGCATGGCACAGCCATGGGGCACAGCACAGCCACAGGGCATGGCACAGCTGCACATCATGGCATGGCCATGTCCCTACCCAGCCGTCAAGTGGCTCTGGCCACAGGATGCCTGTCCCCAGCGCTTGCAGCACCCACACCCCCCTGCACCAGGGCTGCCCCCGGTCCCTGCCGCGGGGTCGGGGCCACGTCGTGCACCATCCTGCACCCTCATCCCCCACCATCTCCGTGTCCCCAGGCTTCCCCTGTGCCCAGGGTAGGGGGGGGTCTTTCGGAGTGCAAGGCCTGAGGGGGCTGAAACCCCTCCGTGCTGTGCCGGGGTGGGTCGTGGCCTGACCCTGTGCCCCCCAGCCATGAGCCGCCGCGTGGTGCGCCAGAGCAAGTTCCGGCACGTCTTCGGGCAGCCAGTGAAGGCCGACCAGATGTACGAGGACATCCGCGTCTCCAAGGTGACGTGGGACAGCTCCTTCTGTGCCGTCAACCCCAAGTTTGTGGCCATCATTGTGGAGTCCGGCGGCGGGGGGGCCTTCATTGTCCTGCCTCTTGCCAAGGTGAGCGGGGAGGCTGGTGCCAGGGTCTTGCCCCCCTGGGATGTATGGGGGGGACATACTGATGGGCTCTGCTTTTGGGGGGCTGCTGTGGCCCCAGAGCCCCCCAGCTTTGCCTCGACATCCCTGTCCTCATGTGGGGGCTTGGGGCAGAGGCTACCTGGGGTGGTCATTGGCACTTGCGAAGGGTGATGTCCCGGGGGTGACCGAGGTGATGCAGGAAACCCCTGGCTGCTTTCTCACCAGCCCAAATTCCCCAGGGGCACGCGATGCCCAGGGAGCAGCCCAGTGGGATGGGGGTCTGCCCTGCCCACCCCAGCAGGTGTGTCCTTCTTGCCATCAGAGGGGACACAAAGCAACCTCTCCCGGGGCACATTGTTCCCCTCTGCATCTCTGCGGGGCCTCATGTTATAAGCGAGCCCCATTCCCACTGTGTGCCTCAGTTTCCCCCTTTGAGGCAGGTGCAAAGCTCTGGCCACCGCCAGGGCCCTGTGCGTGTCCCTGCTTGTGCCACAACCGCATGTGGTGGCCGGGCTGGGGCTTGGGGGGCACCTGGCAAGGCCCCCCCGGCTGCTGGGGACTCATCCCGGCACCTCGGCATTGCAGACGGGACGGGTGGACAAGAACCACCCGCTGGTGACGGGGCACACGGCGCCTGTGCTGGACATCGACTGGTGTCCCCACAACGACAACGTCATCGCCAGCGCCTCCGAGGACACGGCATCGACAGGGCCTCCGAGGACACCACCGTCATGGTGAGGGGCCGGACCCCGGGCAGGAGGGGGGTGGCGGGCACTGGGGAAGCGGCGCGGAGCATCCCCCCGCCTTTGCCGCCTGTGAAGTGTCACTGGCCTATTTTTAGCCGCGGTGCCATGCGTTCGCGTTGGCGGTGGCTGCTCTCTCCATGATGCAGCAGTTTGTGCTAAATATACCCGCCCCAGCGACTCAGCACCCAGGAATAGCTGGGGGGGGGCTGGGGGCTGTGCCCTGGCTGTGCCCCCCTCCCTGTGCCCACCAGCACCCCGAGTGCTGGGGATGCACCCCAGGATGCAGGCGCTGCTGCTGTCCCTTCGCCACCCTCCCCGCAGCCTGAGCCAGGATTAACGATGAGGTTAATTGGCTCCGAGGCCCTCAGCCGCTTAGCACTCGCTCACGGGGTGATCCCTGCTACCCCACACCCTGCTCTCTGTTCCCTCCCAGGTGTGGCAGGTCCCCGACTACGTCCCCGTGCGCAATGTCACAGAGCCGGTGGTGACGCTGGAGGGACACTCCAAGCGGGTGGGCATCATCTCATGGCACCCCACCGCCCGCAACGTCCTGCTCAGCGCAGGTAAGGGGAGCCCCGGGTCACCCTCCTACAGGGTCGGGTGGGATCCGTGGGGTGGTGGCATCCACCTCATCGGTCCTCTGCAGGCTGTGACAACCTGGTGATCCTCTGGAACGTGGGCACGGGGGAGATGCTGCTGGTGCTGGAGGACATGCACACCGACCTCATCTACAACGTGGGCTGGAACCGCAACGGCAGCCTCCTCGTCACCACCTGCAAGGACAAGAAGGTCCGAGTCATCGACCCCCGCAAGCAGCAGGTTGTGGCGGTGAGTGCTCCCGCCGTGTTCCCCCACCATCCCGCCGCGGGGTCCCCCCTCCCCGTGCCTGCCTGACCCTACTAACCGCCTGCACCCGCGCGTCTCTGTCTTTGGTTTTAACCCGCTAACGGCTGGCGCAGGAGAAAGCCAAACCGCATGACGGCGCTCGCCCCATCCGCGCCATCTTCATGGCCGATGGCAAGATCTTCACCACCGGCTTCAGCAAGATGAGCGAGCGGCAGCTGGGCCTCTGGGACCTGGTACGAGACGACGGCTCCCGCCCAGCCAGCGCCGCCCCGGGGACCCCGCAGAGCCGGGGATGCGCCGGGTGCCAGGGAGGCTCTCCCGCAGCGTGTGCACCCCAGGAGCCTCATGCACTCCCCAGGAGCAGGACTCAGTGACTGTTTTGGGGGACAGATCCGGACCCCCCCATTTTCTCCCCTTCCCATGCCCTGTGCTGACTCTCTCCCCCTCCCCCCAGGAGAGGTTTGCCCCCCACGAAGGGCTGAGGCCCCGGCGGGCCATCTTCACACGGGAAGGACACATCTTTACCACGGGCTCTACCAGAATGAGCCAGCGGGAGCTGGGCTTGTGGGACCCGGTAACGAGGCCGCATGGAGTGCTG